GTTTGCTCGTCTTGCAGGATTGTACAGCCACATAGTATATAAGAAATTTTTATAACAACTTCCTTTTCTCCCTCAAGTTCTTGTTCTCTTATTAAGTACTCTAGGGAGTGTTCAGTACAGGCTGATCAGAAAGCTCGACCTCCTGCTGTCAGCTGTCTTTTTCCATTAGCTCTGTCTTTTACAGCTTTATGTCTCCCTCCAAAATGGAGCTGTCCTCTTGTTTTCTTGTTTGCAAAGACTGTGAGCCCTTTTGTGCTCACAGTCATCTAGAAAAGGTACTGATCCTCTGAGAGTTTCCAGCTGTGCTCAAAAGAGTGTATGCAGTCTGGGAACTGAATCCCGCTGTCTGGAATTAAAGTAATTCTGTTTTGGTCTTGCGTCGATGTTGGAGACATTCTCAAGTGTTAAGGTGAAGGGGAGGAATTCTGGATGTATCCCAGAACCCAGGGATTAATGTGCCTGACTCATGTTTCTTACTCTGAGCATTCTCTTTCTTTGTACTCAGGGCACACTCATATAATTATCACTTGCAAAAAATAATTACAGGTTGAAAGAAGATTACGTGCTTTGCTTCCTATTTCTTGGACATTTAAACAGTTGTTCCTTTTTTTTTTTTTTTTTCCATAGAGTTCCCACAGTTTAAAGGATGCTGTGATATGTAGGTCTGCAAGGAGAGAAGCAGTGCAGGCAGGCTTGTAGAGAGGTACAGAATGTAAAGGTGTGGTGATGAACAGGTGTTGAGTGAGGTGCTACAGAATTAATCCATTTTAATGGCTGGCTCTGAGGGAAAAACACAAACAGGTTGAATCTGCATTGTTGACCCTGGTCTGAAGTCAAGCAGAAGTTTTTAAATGGGGCTGGATCAGACATGTGGTGTGCTTTGTTAATTGCATCATGGGCATGCTTCTGCAGAATCAGGATCTGAGCATACATCACTGAGTTTTTCATGTGCAGATTAACTAAACCAGAAAAAGTGACTCCAACAGAACAATAAATCTTGGTTGAGACACAGGCTTCATGGTGACCTGAGGGCAGTCATTTTATCTCCTTCTGCTTTTGTCCCCTCTCTGTAAAATGGTGATAAGAGCATTTTCTTATCTTACAATGGAATAGTTACGAAAAACATTAAGGATTATGATTTGCTTAAATACTGTGTAATGAAGACCATTAAGCACCTTAAACAATTCTATTCCTTGGTTGTATTCTGAACTGAAATACTGGGGGGGTTTATTTTTTCTCAAATGAACTCAAGGAAATGCATCAGTAAGGACTGATAAGTATACCCTGTGAAATGTCATTGCTAAACTGTGTTCCGTTTTCTGAATGATATCACTAGATGGTTTCTATCTTGTCATCATGCTACCTGCACTTCCTCACCACTTCATTCAAATACCATAAACTTTAAAATAAAGAGAAAAGGGAAAATTATCTGCTACAAGGCCACTGTGGCTACAAGAATCCAGGATTTCTGCACTTGTTCTTTAAAGTCCTAGCATTATTAATTGAAAGAGTGGGTGACAAAAGCTGATTAAGGCATCTGCGATTAGTAAATCAAAACAAAACAGCCACAATTGCCACAAGAAATAAACACAAAACTATCACCAAACAAAAAGGAAAAGGGAAAGGGGGAGAAAAGAAAAAGGGAAAGCAGAAGGAGATAAAAAGAAGCTGCTGACAACAGTGAATACTCAACACGAAGCACAGAATTATGCTACAAACATGGTCAGGTTTTCACTGACTGTAGGAGCAGCAAATTTTGCTCATATTAATGTAAATAACTGGTCTGTCTTTTCTGTACCTCATATAATCCCTTGTCTTCATGGGTCCCAGAAAGATGTGTTGAACTGCAGGTCTAATTTCTGTTGTTTTGCTGTTGCTGTTTCCCTGAGATGTCCAGCATTCTCAGGATTGTTATCTGTTTTTGCAGATATGTTTTTATTTGCTTGTTTATTTGTTTTCCTCGAAAGATCAAAACACAGAAACCAAACTGTGAACAAGATTTGATTTGTTATTGAAGTGTCTGTGGTGTAGGTCAGTACTGACATAAGTAAGAAGCATTTTATATGCAGGAGGTGTTTTCATGCAGCACTGAGGCAACATGTGGCACTGGGAAGGTCAACTGCTGCTAGAGAGTACTTTTGGGATAAGTGAAATCTTTCACATAAAACAAAAAACAAAAAAACAAAAAAAGCAAAAATAAACAAGCAAAAACCCTCAAAAAGCTTTTTTTTTCCCTGAAAAATATGTTTTTCCTCTGCCATCCAAAGAACAGTGGAAATTCAGTGCTTGTTTTCTCCATTTTCCTGTGGCAAGGGAAAAAGCAGCTCCCACTGACCCATCTCTTCATGTCCTACCTCATTTTATTTTATACACTTGGCAACCTGAAGCATTTCTGGAGATGTGTTTGGAATAGGAGGGATGGGTCAGGTTATTACTGTCAACCCTCGTTGTGTGAAGTGCTGAAACTAAGCTTCAGTACCTCTATGCCCAGGTAGTCTATTGTGTTTATGTTTTTATCAGGTGCAGTAGTGATAGCGTCACTGCCTTCCTCTGGTATTAATTTATAAAATTGGTTGATCAGGTAATCTGTAGCCACAGAGGGAATTAAATTCTCATTTCCTAATCCATTAATTACAGAACTGTATTTGTTCATAGGAAGTCCCACTGACTCAACTAGGATGCTCTAAATGTCTCTGGGAAATACTTTAATAATAGCATCTTGCTTTACACTTGTTTGAAAAAACGTCCACTGGAGCAGGTATTGTATTTTGAATATAAGAGTAAAAGGTGAGCAAACAAAGGACTTTTTCAGGTATGCATTTTAGAAATGAAATACTCAAGCAGTTAATGATCCAGATGAAGTAAAAAAGTACATTTGCTCACACGCCTCTAGAGATAGCTACCACATAGGACAAAATGCACAGACCAAGTCTTTTGAGATTCCAGCTTTCTCCAATGGTCCAATCTTTTCCAAAGGACCCACTACTGGACACAGAAGAAGTAGCATAAGATGCCATGTACTGACTGTACATCTGCAATTTCAGAGTTTGTTTGTGATGTAGAAGTTACTGAATAACCAGAAGAAAACAAAAATCTTCAGAAAACAAACATTTGATTAACATTTTGTGCTTATGCACAACATTCATACTCGAAATCAGAGTGGGAAAAGAGAATATATATGGAGAATAACTGTGTGGATTCCTGGTTTCTTGAGCTTCTAAACAAGGCTATGTTCTTTGCCTATAGAAATTACAGTTGATACTATAATTCTGCAATCACCAGAAGCTGATGTTTGAATCCATACAGCTAATTGATTGAGCTAAGAAAATTAAACATTCTGCGCTTTATTTTCCGGGGGGTGAAATTAATCTATGGTCATGGGTACAAAATGATATTGTTGATTTTGGGGATAAGAATGGTGGAGAGTTCAGATGCATTCTGTTTTGGCTTCACTTTGGTCTGCTTAAGTACAGGTTGCCCAGGTAGTTCTTGAAGGTCTTCAAAGCCACCTGGACATGATCCTGTCACCCTGCTTTGGGTGTCTGTGCTGCAGCAGGGACTGGGACAGATGGACCCAGAAGACCCTGTCAGCCTCAGCCATACTGAGGTCCTATGGTCTACTTTCATGAATGATTTTTCTGATTTCTTATTTTTTTCTTCTTCTAATTCTGGTCCAACACCTGCCCAAATATTCTTTGTTGGCTGTCACAGCTCAAGGTTAGGTCAGAGGAGTACACAAATAGTTTGTAAATTTTTTTTTTTTGAGAACGAGGTCTGTTCTTACAGTAATCCCTCAGTAAAGCAGTTTTCATGCACATCTTTTGAAAGGAAAATGTTACAAACTTTGGATTTTAGTATTTCAAATTTGTTTGCATTGTTTTTTTCCAAACCTACAGTAAAGGAACTTCTATGTTTATGTTAAGAGTGATAGGAGGACCTGCCCTCTACAATGGCTACTGTGAATTTGATCCTCTAATTGTCATAATATCTACATCAATATTACTGCTTTGGTAAGTGATGAGGATTTTGAAGTGAGGTTTCTTTTGCAGTCTGTCAGAGAGTGAAGAAGAATGATGAGTTAGCGTATTCACTTAATTGCAAGAGGTTAGATTAGTGACAGCCTTGGTTAGGCTGTTTTGAGATGTGTTGGGAAGCTGATGCAGACATTGATGTGGATTGCATAGAATAATGGTGAATGCATCCAAAATAGTTGAGCTTTTCCAGGCAGCGCAATTAGTCAGCAGTAAACTACAAAATGAGACAAGAGCTCTTTATGGTTCGTATCTGTAAGTGTGAAGATCCAGACTCAGGCCAGAGACTCCTCAGAGGTGGTTGCAATGGAGTGGGATAGGCAAACAGGGCAGAGTGGTCCCAGCCAGCTGTCTGGAGAGACAGGATTACTGAGCAGTCTCCTAAAGCCTTCCTGGTAAGCAGCAGCTGAAGGGCCAGGTGATGGGCTGGAGGCAGGTTTACCTCAGGATGAGCCTTCACCTGACCCACAGAGGACTCTTCTGGTTGAACAAAGTGTACGCATTCCCCACTGTGGGCTTGCAGCTGCGGCAGGGAAGCATTTTGGCTTTAGCTTCCTTTATCCCTGTAACAATCCCTTCCAGCTCCCCACAGGTTTTAGCTTTCCACTTTCTGCTCCTGCAGTGCTGCCTCTATCCTGCTAGCTTTCATTGATCACCGCCGCCCCTGACACTCACATGCCCTTTGATGAAGTAGCTGTCGAAGCTCCATCCCTCCACGAGCTGCGTTACGGACCCACTTCTCTCCGAGACGTTCATTAGTGTCATTTGCCAAAAGGTTTATGTAACAGATGTTGCAAAGCGGCAAGCAGAAACGCACATGCACACACACACACACACACACCAGCATTGCAAAGACCGTCGGGGTGTTGATGATGGGAGGATTGTCTGCAGGACTAGAGTAGCTTGAAGGCATAGCTGCATCTGTTAAAAAGCAACTAATGTCTCTATGTCACCATGCTGTATTTTCAGCTTGTCATCATGGCTGGGACTGTTCTGCTTGCCTACTATTTCGAGTGCACCGATACTTTTCAGGTGCATATCCAAGGTTTCTTCTGTCAGGATGGCAATTTGATGAAACCATACCCCGGAACGGAGGATGAGAGCTTCATTTCACCTCTGGTGCTCTACTGTGTGCTGGCTTCGACTCCGACAGCTATTGTAAGTATAAGAAATTATTTGAATTCTCCGCTGCTGCTCCATAAATAACAGCAATAGTCCTGTAATATCTCTGTCCCCTTTCCTCTCTTTTCAGCTGTAATTGATTTACACTTAACTGGTCTCCACTTTGCCTTAGCTTAATATGATCTTCATCAGTTATCTCCAGATGTAATTATTCTGAGGTAATCACAAAGTAAGATTGAGTGGTAGAGCTTGTTAAACCTGCTACAGTAGCTTGCCCACCTCAGTGATTAGTTGTCAATTGTCGGGGCTCCAGAGAAGCATGAATGCAAAAGTGATCTATTACTGGAAATAAAAATAAAAAAATTTAAAAAAAAAAACAGGATGAAGCAGGAGAAAAATGTTGGCTGGAGATGCAGCATGTTCAGGATTATTTGCTGCTGTAGTAAGAGGACTGTTGTAGGGCTTTAAAGGGCTTAGACAAACAGAGAGATGCTCAATATTGAGAAAAGTATGAATACTCTCTCCTTTGTATTTCAAGTTTCTGTAATCACACGGATGAATTCCCATCATACTACATCCTTTGTTTCCTTATGTTGCTTTCTTTCTCTTTTTTTTTTTTTTAATCTTTAGTATTTCTTAACTTTGTTTGCATACCTTTTAAAACTTAATTAAAAACATCCATTATATATTTACTAGTGAGAGGCTAATTGCTGGACCATAGTCCATTTCATTTTACAGTCTGCAGTAATATTAATGCATGAAACAGTTTAACACAGGACTTGATAAGAAACGTGAAAGATATCTGCATAAGAGTCCACAGTTTTTATCAAAAGAGACTTTGTGAAAATGAGTGGTGATTTCAAAATGATTTATGTCAGGAGCATATGAAAATCCTCTGCAGTAACAGTGTTGTTTTCTCTACTGGAACTCAGTTGCTGCAGGGATAGACGGTTCGCAAATGAAAAAATAAATGCTACATTTCTCCCTAGTGACCTTCCCAGTAACTTTCATAGACTGTGCTTTTAAAGTGAGTACAAGTGATGCTGTTGTATCTGGATGCTGTGACACTGGAATTAGTAGGAGGACTGTCCCTTGTTTCAGTGATATGTTATTAAAACTGCTCTTTGTTCAGTTCTTTAAAGTCTCCTGGGAAAGCTGTCTGCAAACCTTTCAGGTTCTGCTCTGCTGGGTCAACATTTCTTTCTTATCAGTGGCCCAGTAACTTTTTTCTAGTTACTTATGAACAGCTGGTTTTGGGAGTTGAACAATTCTATTTTCATAGTTCCCTTAGCCTTTATTAAGCAGGAGGTGAAAGACTGGAGAGAACATCAAATGAGGGTTTTGTGTGCAGAGAACTTCAGTTAAAGGGCAGTGTGGAACTGGTGGGTCTGTCTTGCACACTGATGGCTGAGCAGAGATTACAGCTTTGGTCCTGAGGTACAGTAATCACACTAAATTATGAGATCTGAGGTTGTAAGCTCTGCTGCTTGGGTTAAGCTGCATTGTTGAACAGACTCTACTGCTTCATTTAGAGAATAGTCAGTGCCACTTGGTCAGTGTCAGTGTGGAGCTCTTTGCACCATGCCTTGTTGTGATTTCTCTGTACAACCTCTAAGGAGACAGTAGATCATGCTTCCTGGATAAACAAACGTTTTTCTTTTTATTCATAGCATATTGTATATTAACATGTTATTTAATGTTTTGTTTATATTACTGTGTTGCAGTATTAATATATTACTTAACTATTTTCTGTATAATTTCTTAGTATTGAGCTAATTCTCAACAGAGCAGATGTCAAAGGGATCTTTTTTGTGCTCACAGGTCCTCAACACAATGTTTTTGTCTGAGCAACTTGACTCTGTTTCTCATACCCATCTCTTTCTCAGAGACTTTCCCCTCCTTGCAGGATGATTTCAAACTTCTGCTTTTGTTGATCCCTGTTTCTACTCAGTTTTCTACTGGACTGAGTTTTGGCAATGATAGTTAATAAAAAGCTGGTAAGTGAGATAGAAAGTGAGCTCAGATTCTCTGTGAGAACTTTCCTTGCATTGCATTGCTGGTCAAACCACTGTGTGTGTATCTGCAACTATGCCCAGGTAGGTGCTGCCTGTTGTTCAGGCAGTGTAAGTCCAGGAAGTGATTTTTGATGCAATTGAACATCCTTGAACATCCCGGAGGTTTCAATAAAAGGAGTAAGTGCAGCCATTTCTACTCATACTGTGATGATTATAGTCTCCCCTACCTCCTTCCCACTCCTTCTTCCTTCCCTCCCTCTTCTCCCCCCCCCCCCCCCCC